AATAGTATAACTATATTATTAGCACATATTTCCAAACCACTTTTTCAAATTTCTAATAAAAAATTTTAACAAAAACGCATTGTATATTATAATGGTATGTCAATAAATTCATGGGAGTTATTTTTCTAATTGCCACTGTTACAGTTTAAACTTTAATTAAAACTTTTGTAATACTTTCGGATGGAATTTTGTGATAGGCTATGTGTAATGAAAAAGCTCAATTTTTTTATCGTTCGATTTTTGATTAATAAACCAATATACGGTTAACAAGTGCATTTGTTATGAATTGTTCGGTCTGGGAAACATAATATACGGCTTATCTATGTGCATAAAACACGTCTMGCCAGTTATAAAATACAAATTCGTTCAGCCGACGTTCACCGGAAACCTCGACACACAGAGCGGAGTGACAATGAAAAACAGACATAGGAATCATACACTACTGCCTATATGTATAATCCGGATTTCACCATTTATTTAAAACGTGTATCACACACACATTATTTTTTTCCTTCATTTTTTATAATATATAATTCAATTTTATAAAAGTATCGAGTTTTAATAAATTCATGTTTAAACCATGTAAAAATTTACACATTTATTAGGTAATATAAAACCATCATATACATATTATATATACTGAGTACCAACTAAATKTATAGATTAATTTAAGCTTTTCAGGGAAAAGAAGAAGTATTTAGGAAGGGAGGGACATTTTCCCGAATCCTCACGTGAATAGATATAACATGAACTGTAGATAATGTCAATATTATATTAATATATTAATATAGGACGTAGCAATGTGACCTTGTTTTGAGAAAACACGCTTAGTATATAATATAACAACTCGTTTACACAATATACATGATCCGATGACAATATTTACATAATATATTGTTATCATACCACTGTGTATACCCATCCAATACAAACATATCTATAGGTACATATATATATATAACACTAACTATAGTAACTGTATTGCTTACTTCATCTGGAAAAAAATTTACAGTATTATAAAATACGACACTTTGTGTATTTTGGTATAAACGTAGGTATCTCAGCGCATGGTCAACTTAGCTTCAGTTTACCTCACTCATAGGCATTCACAAACTTCAATTTTTGATCAAGCCTAGAACAATGATTTTTAATGTCTATCTAATACTAAGACAATGGCTATACATTTTATTTAACATATCAGTATACATTCTAATTAATAATTTATAACTGTACACTGTATTATCGATATCAATAAGAATAAAATTAACAATTATAATAACATTTAATGGCGCAATAACATCGAAACTCTAAATATTAATTTACACATGTGAACACTAAATAGTAGGTACCTATAAATAGCTAACACAATTAGATAATTGAAGAAGAAGTCCGTAGACTTAAATACCGTAGTATTCAATTAAAAAGTGACTTTTTAAATTATATTTAAACGTATGAATTTTCTATGAACATATTATTACAATTTACTAGCTGAATTATCCGTCGCTGCCGGGTTACGGTAAAAAAAACAAATAGTTGAATAATTGTAAATAATAAATAAATATAAAGGATTTATCGTGTATACATTTATTACATTAAATTAAATTACATTAATACATTTATCATGTATACATCGTTAGAATAATGTGCAATTAATGTATAGGAAAAACATATAATGAAAAAAAAAATAAATAACAACGAATTTGAGTATTATTATTATAGAATTTCTTTATAAACTATATTCATTGTATCTTTTTTTTTGTTTCGTATTATTTGTATTTTTAACTTTTCAGAAGATCTAACTTTGGACATGGGCACAAGGCCACATAAAGTTTACCATGGCTAAACACAGGTTGGGGTAAATACAATCCTATTTTATCCAATGTTTGACCCTGCGTTTTGTTTAWTGTCATAGCAAAAGCTATTCTTATCGGAAATTGACGTCTGGTGAATGAAAAGGGAAGAGTAGAATCTGACGGGGTCAAATCAATTCTAGGCAATAAAATACGATGACCAGTTATAGATTCCAAGTCGAAAGAATGATCGTACATATTTCGTACAATAAATCATGGGCCATTCATAAGATTGGAGATAACATTTAAATTTCTCAAGAGTATTACAATAGTACCTTTCTTTAGTACCAAACTGTGCGGTGGTAAACCATTTAAATGTAAACTATCAACAAATTCTGTAGGAAACAAAAAATCGTCATAATCTTTTGACACTGTATTTAAACTTAAATACGTTTTTTCTGGCCCTGGTAACATATTGGCAATTGAGTTATTTATTTAATAACAATGTTAATTTTTAGATGCAAGAATTGCAAATTGTGAAAAAATAAACACATTTTCTAAATTAAAAATAATATTTTTAAATAAAATAATAAAGTCGACTAATGCATTCAAGTTCGATGTGACCAGCATACTCGCAATCTAGGGTCATCAAATGTTCGTAATCATTAGAATTATAAATAGGTAGTCTATACGAAAGCTCACCACCAATGACAAATTCTTTGTACACATCCCAATTATTTACCACCAAGTTATTAAGTTAACTACTCTTAATCGAATATTTCGATGTTCTTCTTGCGTGCCGAATATTAAATGTGACACGGAACGAAATAAACAATTTCCATCGCCTGGTATTGAAATTAATTGATATTCCATTTTTCGACAACGATTCAGACGACGACACCACGACGATAACTGTTCAACAACAGTAACAATTATTATACAATTATTCAACTATTTGTTTATTTTTACCGTAACCCGGCAGCGACGGGTAATTCAGCTAGTATAATAAAATTAAGTTGTAAAGATGTGTTAGTGCCAGGGAT